ACCGGGGTCGTCGCAATATGCGTTTTCGCAGTTGCATATTATGCAAAAACGCATAAAAAGAGTGTTGGAGGTCGTAAGTTAAGGTACAACGAGCTCTGTAACCAGGTTTTAATCGACTTAATTCGAATTCTCTGCTAAGTTAGACCCTAAAAATGTCGAGTTCTTGGCTTCCTCCATTACTGAGTGATAAAATCATTTACTGGTTACGAAGCCATGAACTAGGAAACAGACTAAGTTAAACCCAAACTAGAACGCACCAATTTCTCCGCTGCGATTATGCGTTTTTGCACTAAACTCGTAGATCGCTATTAGCAAGAATGATCCCTACGCTGTACCCTAATACTTGGGTTCATATTGGCCGTGCTTTGGCCCTTTCCGGCATGCAAGGAGAAGGATGTCAGTTGGGATGAAAGTGTTGCATTGTAGAGCCGCACTGACATCCAGATTACCGGTTTTTTGCATGAAGTCCGGTCGTTTTTTCGGCAAATGCTCGCCTTGTGAAAAAATGACAAATGCAAATCTTTTGAAAAAATGCAAATTTCCAGTTCACCAAAAAGTGAAAGTATTGCTCGAGCGGTCGTTTGTCAAAAAATTCACGTTCATTTACATATACGATTGCGGTTCAGGGCCGAGCTGCAAACGGTTTTTTTGAAAATATGCAAATTTTCAGTTCATTAAAGATTGAAAGTGTTGCTTGAACGCTCGTTTTTCAAAAAATCCATGTTCATTTGCATATAATTGAGGTTCAGGTCCGAGTTGTTAACGATTTTTGGGTTTAGGAGCTGCTTAAGGCTGTGATTGGGGAGCTAGAGCTGAGTTTGAAATTTTTATCTCATACGTGCATAGAGAATATCCCTACGTTGTCTGGTTCGCGAAATCGTTTCCCGCCAATATATTTCTTCGGGGTTCCCGTACGCGGGATTTAGGCGCGTATGGGGAAAGATCTTAAAACGGGAAGATGATACACGGGATAGGAACATAAATCCGAAGTTTCAGCCTCCCCGCTTTCCTGATTGCTGAGATGAAAGTAAG